GTGGTTGAGGAACCGAACCTGCGAGGCTTATTGCTGATTGTGGAGATGAAGCCGAGGTCTAATGGTAATGATTGTGCCTTGATAGCTGAGCCAATGATTTGATGTCATGTGCTTGTTTTCGAGGAAAAGTGGCTGAACCGTTACGACTTCCAAGGTGCCTGCTGCCGTCGTATTAAAAACACAATTATGAGGGCAGCTGGCGCTTCTAGAAGCAGACGCACTGGAAGAGGTGCATAGGAGGCACGCATGAATCTGAGGCGTAGGATTGAAAAACCCTTTGAATTCAACACCTCGGATTGGATCAGAAATTAAGGGCTCAGATTGAGTGAGATTCGATCTAACGGCCGGCGTTCATCCTGGACCTCTATAAAAGGTGAGGAATCCCATTTTTCAGGATTTTCGAACACTTGCACTCTAACATTCTCTTAAATCTTCAAATTTTTTCGGCATCGAAGTTGACTGTAATTTCAATTTCCGGCCAATCTCCATTTGTGTCGAATTCCCTTAGGTATTTTTTGCAGAAAATACCATCTTACTGTCTTTTTACTGAAAAAATGGAGTCAACTTCGGGTAAGGAGCTAGTGACAGTGGCGTCTTTAGACTATGGGGTCGGTCAGATGGGAGAGTCCGAGGTGGATAGGTATGCCATGACCGAGGAGCCTGTAGATTATACCCAGGAGTGGGGGCGTCTAGGGTACCTTCGAACATGACGTGGAAGAGGTTGGGAGAACTTAGGAAGAGGTATAGTGTGCCCCACTCCATAGAAATGTTAGTCCCCGAGTCGAACGAGCGGGCCTGCTATCCGAGGCCTGGCTGCGTGGCCGTCAGTGAATACTTGTTTAAGGTAGGTATGCGTCTACCTCTGCACCCCTTCTTCAGGGCGGTGCTTAGGAACTTCATGTTGTCGCCGACCCAAGTTCTGTCGAATGGGTGAAGCCAGCTGGTCGGCTCGTACTTCCTGTGGAAGGAAGTGTCACTTGGGGAGGACATGCCTCTCCATGTATTTATGACCCTGTTCCAGCCTCGGGTGTTTGGGAAGGAGTCTAGGAGATGGTACTACCTCACGCCTTGGGGGGCTCACGCACCTTTTGTGGTGGGACTTCCTTCCTCTATCAAGGGGTGGAAGGAGTCTTAGTTCTGGGTGTGAGGTAAGTGGCAAGCAGTGGAGGGGGACAAAACCCTTACTTGCACCGTGCCGACCCAGTACTACGAAGCTCATGAGTCTCCCAGACCCTACTTGTTTTCTGAAGCCAAGGTTTGAATTTAACTGTTGGGAGTTCCTTTGTAGATAGTAGTACGAGATTCGAGCTCAGTCGTGAGGAGTTCGAGGTAATAGAGGACATCTACAGGAGGCCTCTGAAGCTTTGTCACTTCGACCACTTGATTGATAGGAGTCGCTATTTTCTGGACTTTGAGCTGATGGCATCCAGAAGTACGAAGCTCCCACAGTTACAATTTTCTTGTCCTTTTGTCCTGATACTGATGCTGACCTAATGTATTGTGCAGATAAATTCAAGAAGAGGGAATAACCAGCTCCAGATATGGCTTCCATTCTGAAGGCCACTTCTACTGTGAAGGCGAGGCCTCTGAAGCCGGGCTCCAGTGGGGCGAAGGAAGTCCGAGGCAGGGTTGAACGCCTGTCCAAGGACTGTACTCCATGGGCCCGGAGGAGGCAACACCTCAGAGGCAGGAGAAGCCAATGGAGCCTCGGGGGAAGGAGAAGGTCCCTGAGGAGACAAAAAAGAGGAAGTTGGTGCATATCTCCAGCTCGGCTGGGAAATTCGGGACCTCTGTGTCCCATGAGGCAAAGCAAACTGGTGAGCCGAGGTTGCTTGCAGCAGCCTCGAAGGCCATCAAAATTGAGATGGTTAGAGAGGCGGAGGCCGAGGAGGCTAGAGCAGAGGCTACTAGGCGAGCTTCGAAGGCTGCGAAGCAAAAGTCGATCCGTGAGAAGGGGGAGTCAACGAGCTTCTTAGCTGGGAGGAAGGAGGCACTAGCCCCGGCCTTAGTGGAGGCTCTCCCTAAACAGATCCGAAGAGCAACTGAGAGCTTCTACAAGTTCTGGACAGAGAGGTGGCAGCTGCACGCCTCCGCTTGCGATGCCACTGATCTTACAAGGGCATTAGTGAGCCAGAGTGTCAGGACTTTCGGCCTCGCGCTTGAATGCAGGGGGGGCCCTTAGTGGATTTCAAACAAGGACCCAGGCCTCAGAGGGGAAGATGGCCTCCCTCGCAAAGGAGCTGAAAGCTGCTAAGGCCGAGGCTGAGGAAGCCAAGGCCCAAAAAGTTGAAGAATCGACGAAGCTTGAGTCTGCACTGGCCCAGATCGAGACCTTAAGCAAGGAAGTATACGAGTCATAGTGCGAGGTGGCCTCCTTAACAAAGAAGGTGGAGGTCTCCAATGAGCACCAAAAGGTGACTGCTGAGGCCCTGGAGAAGGCAAATCTCTCCTTGACAGGTGCTCAAGATGCTTACAAGTATCTGGAGGGCCAAATAAAGTGGTACGTGGACGACGCCTCTCATGCAAGGGAAGAGGCCCAAACTGCAGGGGAGGAGGCGGTGAAGGAATACATCGCCAACTTCCATACAACTGAGGAATATAAGAGTTTCAGTGCATACTGGAGGAACTTCGCCTATGTCGAGGTGATGGAGCGGGTGGAGGAGCTGTATCTCAACTTGGATCTGACTCAACTCAGGTCTGAATTTGTGGATGAGTTCCTCAGACCCCAGCTGAGGAGGTGCAGGGTGATGAGGCAGCTGATGTCGAAGCCCCAAGTGCTGAGGCAAAGGAAGCAACTACTGATGCCCAAGTTGCCGAAGCCCCAAGTACTGAGGCGCCTCCGCCATCTAGCCAAGCTTAGACTAGGTTTTCCTTTTTAGTACTTTGAATGTAATGGCCAGAGGCCCTCCTTTGTAATCCCTTTTGAATATTAATATAACGTTTTCTTCATTCATTGTTGTTCTTTATCCAAGTTTTTGTGCCTCGTTAAACAAACGAACTGGAAGTTGATAAGAGCACGAACTAAATAACTTTAACTTGGTACCTTGACTTCAATCAGTCAACTGTATGAGCCTCGGACTGAAATAAGCAAACATAACTTAAGGAACTGTGTGAGCCTCGGACTTAAGCAAATGAACAACTTAAGGAGATGAACTATGTGAGCTTCGGACTTAAGCAAACGAACATAACTTAAGAAGATGAACTGTTGGAGCCTCGGACTTAAGCAAATGAACATAACTTAAGGACGAACTGGAAGTTGATAAGAGCACGAACTAAATAACTTTAACTTGGTACCTTGACTTCAATCAGTCAACTGTATGAGCCTCGGACTGAAATAAGCAAACATAACTTAAGGAACTGTGTGAGCCTCGGACTTAAGCAAATGAACAACTTAAGGAGATGAACTATGTGAGCTTCGGACTTAAGCAAACGAACATAACTTAAGAAGATGAACTGTTGGAGCCTCGGACTTAAGCAAATGAACATAACTTAAGGAGATGAACTGTTGGAGCCTCGGACTTAAGCAAATGAACATAACTTAAGGAGATGAACTGTGTGAGCCTCGGACTTAAGCAAATGAACAACTTAAGGAGATGAACTGTTGGAGCCTCAGACTGTAGCGGTGGTGGCTTTTCCCCTTGGCGTTCAGCGAGGCCAAAGGGAGGCATGTGATAGCTCCTCGGAGTTCAAGCGAGATGGCCCAAAGGTGGTCCCAAGCCTCTCCTCCGAGGTGACGACGTATCCCAGACATGGTGGATGGTGCAGCCATGTTGAGGCTTCTCCCCTAGGCGTTCAGTAAGGCCAAAGGGAGGCATGTGCTAGCGCCTCGGAGTTCAAGAGAGGTGGCCCAGAGGTGGGTCTCGACCTCTCCTCCGAGGTGACGACGCATCCCAGACATGGTGGATGGTACAGCCATGTTGAGGCTTCTCCCCTTGACGTTCAGCAAGGCCAAAGGAAGGCATGTGCTAGCGCCTCGGAGTTCAAGCGAGGTGGCC